TTCTGTTAAATAAAATATCTCCTTTTGAATTGGACTTTGAGCTTTGTAACTTTGCAGATCTTTTTTATGCTCAAAAAGCAACATTACAGACGAACTAAAGTTGAAAAAGTGAAAAAGCATAATAGCACCCAAAGTTAGATCCAATTTTAATTCCTTTACTATGACAATGCAATGCCTAAAACCAAAGAAACCAAATAAATGACGAGAACAGTTACATCTTAAAGGTGACATATCCTGAAAATCGGACTTTTCCAGGTTTTAAGTGCTATAATCAGGTCCCCAGTGCATCTACCAACCAAGGAAACGTGAAAAAAATTAACCTAGTAACTTTGTTTTGGGAAGCCTTTTTCTGCAAGCCTCTGAGAACACGAGCGCGTCTGATTTCGCTCCTTTGGTGACGTGGCAAAGGGATCTCATTATAATATTACCTCCCCTTAATCTGTAAACTTCCACTCACGGCGCTGTCATTATGATTTCGCAAGCAACAACGGTGTAGACAAGAGAGCAGAGGATTTATTGATTTATTTACATTATATTGCCGCTGCCACACAGATCTAATATAAACATGCAATTTCTTTCCCAGCTGTTTACCTTCACAGACATAACCGACTGTTTTTGTAACTCATGTGTGTTTTTAACGTAAACTTGTGTGTGAATGAGAACTTAGTTTAGTACTCACATGCTGTGACAGCCGCTTTCTGTCCGTGTGCTTCGGATGTGTGCACTCAGAAAACCATATATCAGAAGTTTAAACTAATATGGTTTAAAACGCATGATTTCAGCACGATAAACATGATAATCAGAACCAAAACAGATGTTTTTTAGCAGGTTCCTCTACTCTGGAAAAGGGGGCGGGGAGCAGCAGCTTATTTGCATTTAAAGAGACAGGCCCGAAAAACAGCGTATTTCTGCTTCCACTCAAAATAGGCATATTCAAAATGATATAATAAATGATCTGTGGGGTATTTTGAGCTGAAACTTCACAGACACATTCTGGGGACACCAGAGACTTATATTACATATTGTAAAAAGGGGCATAATATGTCTCCTTTAAATAAAACAAAATTTTTAACAGAAATATTTATATTTTATTTGATTTATTTATTTTTAAAGAAAATAACAAATAAGTTGAAAATATATATATTTTTGTGGCTATTAGCTTTTATCAATCAACAATTACTGATTGAGCTTAATTTGCACTAAACCAGGCATTTTCCTTTAAATACTAACAGCACCTATGGCAGTGCACATTATGCCTGGTTAGTGAATAAGACAGGTTTTTGACCTGACATTCAGTATAAAAAAAATGACAACTGTTTAGTGAATTCTCACCTGTATGTTTTCATAGCACAACAAACTCTATTTCAAAAGATCAAGGAAATTCTGATTTGAATAATATGTCCCCTTTAAAGATATGGTCACTCAGTCCTGTTTTTCCCCCTTACTCAGTCTTGTTTTGATAACTCTAAAAATAACTAAGTCTAAGTCTGATAACTAAGTCTTTTGCTAGTTGGCACAAAAGTAATGACTGATTTGTGCAGCTGGCGCATCTTGGAAGCTTTTCAAAATCTCTATGAAAAACAGACATAAACAGGCTGATGCACTCAAGATTGGGAGCCGGCTAAAGCGTTTGGATGTGAAGAGGCTGCGTTGTCTCTCAGAGACTCAGAATCTGATCAGATCTTTCAATGACTGTTACAGTGCATTTTACTTTCTACTGAATTGGATGAAAAGAAACAAACCAAATGGACTTGTGTGAATTGTGCTTCCGAACATCAAAGACCTTTCAGCAATCATTCAGCTCTCGGTCCAAATACCCACCCAGGCCTGACAATTATGGGGTTATACTGCACCCATTTACAGACTTGAACAAATGTAAGTACTGTATAAGAGCTGGACAGAAATACTCCCCATCATGTAAATGAATAACATAATGTGTATATTACCTGCACTGAGGTCTCTGTTAGGATCTCAGTGGCATTTGATTGGCTGCCACACGTCAGTCGTCCTGTTATTGGAAACTTTTTCTTGTGGAATAAATTAATTATGACTGACTATCAACAGAGCCTTTCTATACTCTAATTACTTTCTGTGTTCTATTTCAACTTATAGATAAGCTCCAAAGGCGACTTTACATTAACGACCAGTTTCACCATCTATTTCTTCTTATACTTATACAATTGACATCTGATTCATTTTAATCTCTATGATCACAAACTATTTGGATACTGGAGGAGAAATTCTCTTACCTCAAAAGCAGCACATGCTCATTTCCATCAGCAACCTGCTGTGCTGTATTGATCCGCTGAGCTCCCTCCTTTTGGTTGCATAAAAAGTCATACTGGAGTGTGTGGGAAAAATATGTATCAGTATTTTCCATGTAATTATTCCTCGTGCATATTCTTTGATTTCTAAAGGTAATGACATAGCGTTGAAAAAAAAATGTATATGCATTTGCAGTATTACCTGAAGCATTCCATTGGAAACGTAGAGTTTGACGAAGAAGATGCCTTTTATGGCACTGGCTGAATACAGCAGGGTTCCATACATGGATTCAGTCAGGAATCTCACCGTGACACTGAACACAGCACCGACTTCAATGCCCTCAAACTCCAAAAAGGATTTCCCAGAATATCTCCCAAAACTAATATCTGCAGGAGAGAAATGTAGGCAGTTAAGCATAGTGCCACTGTAGCTTCGCTCAACTTGAATAGTATAAAGTCGACATTTGTGTGGATGTTTGCCGCTATCTGGAACCAAAATTTGCAAAGATATCGAAGGTTTTATTTCATTATGGGGGTTAGTAAACAAAAACAACCTGTTTTTCATAATACAGTTGAATTAAATATATATTTAATACAGTAATATTTCATCCTGGGTACAAGAAAATGTAGCCTCACGCTACAGTGAATCTTAATGAGAATGAACATCACAGAACCTTTGTTGTCATGTCATTCCAAATAAAAAGTGGGCAACACAACTTTATTAATATTCAGCGCTGTACGAGAACATGAGTGAAAAAGAATAGAAAATCTGAATAAACTGAATAAAAATAATGAGTAAAATCTGTATAAACTGGAAAAACAGGGAATATGAAGTAATGAGAACATGAGTGAAAAAGAATAGAAAATCTGAATAAACTCTGAATAAAAATAATGAGTAAAATCTGTATAAACTGGAAAAACAGGGAATATGAAGTAAGTCTCACATGGAAAAGAAACTTTTATGACAGTTTATAATAAATAGTGAATATTTTAGCTTTTTACTGTGCAAATCTACATATTTCATTCTGACACTATCCCTTTTTAATCAACTTTTAATGGATTTAACTGAAACTGAAGAAAGCACGAGTAACGTTATGAACACTGGAAACTATCAAAGAATTGATACTCTCCACATTGAATTCCCAACAGTGAGCCAATATTTCTCAATTAAGACGATATTGTTCTACCAATTTTGAATATTACAAGATTACAAAGGATCACAGTGCTAATAAAACTATGAATATGTTAATGCTAATCATGATCATGTACAGCTCTGAGCAGAAAGAATAAGCATTACACACATTAACACAGATTTAAAGCTAACATAATACTAACACTACTAATAATATTTTTTGCAGTATGCAGTATGCATACTTAGCACAGTTTATTTCTTAACTGTGTTTGCCAAAGTGTGAAGTGTACAGCAGGGAGTAAATAAAACTATGAATATGTTAATGCTAATTATGATCATGTACAGCTCTGAGCAGAAAGAATAAGCATTACACATTAACACAGATTTAAAGTTAACATAATACTAAGACTACTAATAATATTTTTTGCAGTATGCAGTATGCATACTTAGCACAGTTTATTTCTTAACTGTGTTTGCCAAAGTGTGAAGTGTACAGCAGGGAGTATTGCATGGGATACCATTTCCCACAATGAAACCTCTTTCTGTCAGCTTGAGGAACCTCAGCCCTGTACCATGAGGGTTGTTTTAGCACAAATGAACAGTAACCCACATGATACTTGCAGCAGCACATGGTTTGCCAAGAAAGGCACATAAATTCCCCTCGCAAAGAGAGCGAGAGTGAGTGACTGTCTGAGAAAAATTATACCAGCTTATTACATGCCTCATTTTAAGCCATGATATCCTGCTCTCTGTCATCCGTATCAGTCGGCAATTATGGGACGTTTTCAGAGACTTCCACCCTCTTTGAGATCATTTAGGGTACTGATGCGGACAAACTTAAAAGACCGGCTCTGACTTGAGCAATTTGGCCTAAGCATTAGCGTTGGTCTGGAGTTAATGCCCTTCAATCTCAAACAGTTCCTACGAAAGGTCTCGCCACGGGGTCTTTTGCAATGAAATGCTCAACAATGTGGACCTGCCTGTGGAATTTCTCCCTTCCTGTGATTGACTGATGCTAGGCTACAAAGCAGAGAACGCGTTTTGCGATTGCAGTCATGATTAATGGACCTACAGCAGATGAGGCCTTTATCAATATTTGCTTGACTTTAAATCTTTTTAATGCAGAAATCTTTTGATCTACCATTGAAGGTCTTTGGGGCACCTTGTTGATTAAGGAGCTTGTAGAAAAATCCCCATGCATCTGCTAAGTCCTGCACTCCATAATAGGACAAATATCTCAGAGTGAGGCCTGTGACTGAAAGAATGGAGATTTATCAGGACATGAGAGGTTGTGATCTCCGATTAATGAGGATGAAAGCGGGGCGACTACAGAACGTCTACCTTCTCCCTCCCCTGGTGTTCCAGGCAGGTTTACCAGTGTTGATGATGGAAAATTACCCCTCTGAGACTGAGCCATTTATTAATTTGATGCTTGTTTGGACTGATAGAAGGCTTTCACACAGTCTGTGAATGCTGCCGGGAGACAAACACTCATCTCATTAGCAATTAACTCCAGATCCCTTTTTGAAATCTGCATTTTAGCCACTATAACTTCTCCACGTGCTTGCCGTAGTCTGCTCTTGCTGGTTCTTTAACATTCAAATCATTGAAAACCAGTCAATAGGGACAGGTGACTGCGAGCTCATTCAGTGGTTATTATCGACAGAGAGAGCTATGAAAGACACACTACAGGAAATCTCGAACATAAAACTCTTATTGGATAAAATATGTCCGCAAACACTTTGAAGGTGTAGTTATTGCTCATGTTTGTGAAATGCTGACTCTGCTGGACTGCTGCCAGTTGTGCTGATGAACACTATTATGGGATGTATAAATATAGAGCTCTGTAAAGGGAAGAACAAGAGAGAGTGTGGAAAAGATCAGCGTTTTCCTTATGGATATTCAAAAATAGTGTTGTTTAATGAATGAATGGTACGCTCATCCATTAAAACTGTAGAAGCAAGGAAAGTACTCATGAAATATATACAAATGCAAGACTAACTTTGCACTTATGCACCATTTTCCAACATACTGTAATCAGCTGCTTCTTTTACACTTAAATAACTTTAATTATATTCAAACATTATTAGAGACTTTTGCTATTGTATATTTTGGAACATAACTCACCTGTACCACTTGTGCTAAAGACACCTCAAAATGTGAGGCCTTTTGAAAAGAAGTGTGCTTTAACTTTTCTATGCGATCGTGATTTGTTACCTGGCAGACTATAAAACATGAAAAAACGACTTGCTTAGACTAACAATGGAGAACCTAAATGTATCCAGTAGTAAGAAAACACCTAGCAACCACCCAGAAACCCTATCTGGAAAAAACCCCCTGGGGGGTACAAAACCTGTCACTGGGGCAGTACCGTTTTAAAAGGTGCTTTTGAAAGGGTGTAATTTAGGTAGTAATATGCACACTTTAGGTACGAATATTCATACCCGGAGTGTACATATTAGTACCTAAATGGTACATATCACTACCACCCCAGGGACAACCCAGTGTACCTTTTTTTTGTGTACCAATAAAACCAACCAATAAAACAGGCTATAAAATGGGTAAAAAAGGACTTGTAAGGCTGATGATACACGTGGGCAACTTTTTTTGAGCAATGTTGCTTGGGCACTTTCCCATTGAGAATGGGTAACAGATTTCTATCTGGATACTTTAGCTTGGTCGTGGGCCCTATGTCTCACCTGGTTGCCTGTTGACGGCAACATTAGCCAAAGTTGCCCTGCAACATTGCTCAAAAAGTTGCCCCCTGTATCATCAGCCTAAGCGTATTTGAATGTACATTATAATATTAATATGATGAAAGGTAATGTGTAGAAGTGTTACTTCTGCACATTAAAAAAAGTCATTCATATACTTAAACTATTACAAAAAATAAAACTGAATTTAAAATGAGATAAATTAAGATTATATTTGTAATTTACCTGTCATACACATATCTAAACAATTATAAAGATATTTCACAAGCTGTCTTATTTGTGGCATTCTAATTGACACAAAAACCTACGTGCAAAATGTGTCCCAAAAAAATTAAGACAGACATTAGATAAAACTCAGATTTATAAGCCTCATAAGTCATGTTAATGAGATACAGCTCCACTTTTTCAATATTACTCATACTAACATAATGAGTTTTATCACAAAATCAGAAAGTTATCTTTTAATCTTACAAATATGATGGACACACAGATGAACTCCCAATTTTTTTTCACATTTTTTATGCTTTACCAAAATGTTGCATCAACTATTTGTCCAATTGATGCATATGAAGCCACACATCCAAACCAGCATGACCCGACTGTCACTGACTGATTTGAAGATATCAAAGCAGAATATTTCAAACTCCTTTGTCTTTTGTTTCTATCTGAAATAGATTCAGTACGCTGGGAATGCAGAGGAGGAGGAGGAGGAGGAGGAGGAGAGGACAGCAGAAAGAGAGAGCAGAGGTATCATGCAAGTTCCTGGCTAATCTATTTATAACTGCACCTAGGGCAAAAGATGTTTTTAGAGAGTGACCTATATAGACATATCGATGAGACTTTGTTGGTCCATTTGAAAGTTACAGTATATATTCTTTGTTGAATTCCCATTGAGAATGGGTAACAGATTTCTATCTGGATACTTTAGCTTGGTCGTGGGCCCTATGTCTCACCTGGTTGCCTGTTGACGGCAACATTAGCCAAAGTTGCCCTGCAACATTGCTCAAAAAGTTGCCCCCTGTATCATCAGCCTAAGCGTATTTGAATGTACATTATAATATTAATATGATGAAAGGTAATGTGTAGAAGTGTTACTTCTGCACATTAAAAAAAGTCATTCATATACTTAAACTATTACAAAAAATAAAACTGAATTTAAAATGAGATAAATTAAGATTATATTTGTAATTTACCTGTCATACACATATCTAAACAATTATAAAGATATTTCACAAGCTGTCTTATTTGTGGCATTCTAATTGACACAAAAACCTACGTGCAAAATGTGTCCCAAAAAAATTAAGACAGACATTAGATAAAACTCAGATTTATAAGCCTCATAAGTCATGTTAATGAGATACAGATTGAGCAGACTGAAACCATGATGAATAATTCAATGCTAGTTATGCAAATAAATTAATGATAATTTTCCTTTATTGCCATCTGATTTATGCCCTGTCTGTGTTCCACGTTACTCATCGGCCCATACATATACATGTGCAAGAATTCACAGAAACTTGTCAGATTGCCTGACATCAACATGCAAAGACAGATCACACGAAGCAGGCACATCTGAAGTTCATTTGATATAGGAACTTGATTAAAAACAGCATTCCTCAAAAACGTCACATTTGCAGTGAGAAGTACCAGTGTGCCAACTTATATGTATATATGTATATATATATATATGTATATATATATACACACTGTATATATATATATATATATATATATATACACTGTAATAGGTTATTATTTTGTAAATAATAGTACTGCTTATCACTGTCGTCGATTAGGTTATTATAGATCACGTTTGTTTATTGTAACAATTTTGTCAACAACATAATTAACGACATTACCGAGATTATTCAGTTCCTTGTGAATCATATTAACCGAATCATTACAAAAGAATCTCTTCAACCGAGCATCCAAGATTCGTTCAATGACATAACTTTAACTAGCATAACAAACGTGAAACGTGTCCTAATATTAATGTATCTTCGAGTATGGACAGTCAGACTCCAGTAGCTCGCTGGAACTGGAGAGTGAAATAATATCTGATCCTAGTTCAGTGTTTTCCCGTGTGGCAGAGGAGGAGGAGGAGGAGGAGGAGGAGAGGACAGCAGAAAGAGAGAGCAGAGGTATCATGCAAGTTCCTGGCTAATCTATTTATAGCTGCACCTAGGGCAAAAGATGTTTTTAGAGAGTGACCTATATAGACATATCGATGAGACTTTGTTGGTCCATTTGAAAGTTACAGTATATATTCTTTGTTGAATAATATTTCAAATAAAAAGATTGCACAGACAAAGTATTTTAAAATTATTATATTCTGAGACCAATGTTTGACTGTGGGGCAATGAAATGTAAAAAACTGCAAAATAAAAACTGCATCAAGCATTCAAGACTTTGTCTGCTTATTAGTTATTGGTCTAGTTGCTCTCATTTTTAAATGATTTGACCAATATTTTGAGTTATTGTAGGAGACCTCAACATACATACAACAAAGGAAAGGATGAATACCAGGACTGTGTATCACTTAGAACTGAATTAAGAATGCCTTTTAATTTTAAATTGCATTCATGAATTTAAACTGAGGTAGCAAACATACAGAATTGCGATTGGAATTCAATAGAAATGTAACTAATTCACATGAATTCTAACTACACACAGCAATTATTGTCAAGCTAAACTGTGAATATTTACTTGATATAAATAGACAGATAAATAGATAGATTCACACTCATTAATTGAAAGAGAGCCAATTCTTAAATTTGACTAAACCTTACGGATAAAAAAAAAGACAAGTACAGATGAAAAGCAAAAAAAACAAAAACAAACCTCAAACCAAACCAAAACATCAAGTCTTAACCCAGAGATTGATAAATGTGCAATTCTTTTATCTACAATTCGACTGCATCATATCAAGTCTGATTCGAAAACGATCCCAGTCAGCTGTCCATCAAAAAAGTGTGTGCGATCCAAAGACTAAATGGATTTCGGAGTCCAACTTGTGATGATAGATTTATCCCGCCATTTTTGAGTTAAGACTACAGCAGCTTCCTTGAGTTTTATCTTCCATAAAAAATGGCCTCAATTCCACCCTGTCTGGACAATCGCACAGTGATTACTCAGCTAGTGTACCTCTCGGGCACTTGAAGAAAATTCCCATGGATGCCTAGGCAAACCTTTAAAACTGTCTGTAGCATTTGCCTTTCACATTGTAAATTCATTGATTTCAGTAAAGTGCATGTTTGGTAAATTAACTGCACTGTTCCCCAAGGGCACTGACTTACGCACACTTTGTCTTTCTCAGTAGTGGCTGAAGAAATTAGTGCTGATGGTATCTTAGAGCAAACATTCACGCCGTCATATCCAGACACATTTCTGTGCCCTCAAGAGATCCAAATGCAGTTTCTCAGTTTACTACATTTTTCATTCTGTGGAGAGGTTTAATTCCATTGTGTTGTGCCCCCCCAGGACCACCATAAAGTCTAGCTTAAATGTCAAAATCACTCTCAACATATGCCAGAAACACATTTACCTTTATTTTGGCCTATTGATTTTTTGTGGTTCACTTTGTATAGCAGCAATCTTAGATACTGTTCTAGCAGCGCAGCATTTAAAAGACCAGCTGTACAACAGAAACTCACCTGTAACCGAGAGAATGTCATCTCATTCTCATTCTTTAACGCTGTGAAATGCTGTATTTAGAAGAAAAAAAAATACTTGGAAAAAGGCTACGGGCCAGCAGTTCATTTCAAATCAATTCAGAAAGAAAGCGAAAAGTCATGCTTTAGGGAAATTTAAGCACATTCATGGGGTTTCTTCTTCTAATATGACTTGCTTATTATCCATTTATTAGTCCATTGTCAGGAAATTGGGCTAGGATGGTTCAATTTCCTAAATGATGTGGAAATTTAGTCCTCATGTTCCACACTGACATTTTGGCTCTCTACAATTCATTCATTGTTACCAATGGGCATTTTGTGTCACTGTCAATAAACATTATAAACCAAAGCGAATAATTCCTAATTAGCTGTAATTTTCCAGCGAAAACTAATTGAGTTTGTTCAAACTACTGCTTCTTCAGAGAACATTAGTGGAACAAATGTGGAAAAAGCTCTTATTATCAGACATACCACAGATGGTGAGTGTTTATCTTACTAACCTTTAGGGGCTCCCAGCTCATTTTGGAACAGAGCAAAGCAAAATGTAGGCTATTTGGGAAATGTTTTCGGAATACACATTTCAAGGACTTTTTGTCTGGCATTATGTTGCCTGTGGTAATGTATCTGTATGTTATTGTAGTCAATAACATACAAATTCACAAATAAGAGTGATGACAATAACTCAGCACAAGCTCAGTAGGGCTCTCTCTCTTTCTGACTGAGAAAAGCGTGATCATCTCATTTTATGAGAAATTTTCCAAAAAAAAAAAAACCCCCAACAAAACAAAAAAACTGATATTAAGAAATAAAAATAAAAGGTTCAAACACCTAAAACCAGAATTTCATCAAAGCATCTAATTAAAAATAATTATAATGTAGGTTCCACTTTTGCTTTAAACACAAATTAGTCCTGACAGCTAAAATAATCTGTACCATTTAAAGGTGAAAACTATTCAGTATTATTACTTCATGTATTAAATAAAAGATTTGACTTTTATTTGATCTTGTGGGCTCCCATTTTAGATATTGTTAAATAGTATGAATTTAAAAATATAAAAAAATTCACTATTACATTTTTAAAGTGTAACAACTGTACCCAACTAACTACTGTAAAGTGAATGAAACACTCTTTATTAAAAAAGATTTTGTGAAAGAAAGTTTGTGAAACAGACTGTGAAACATAAAAGAAGATATTTTGAGAAATGTCCATACAACACAAATCAATTAATTTAGTTAAAAAGATTCCTCAAAATATGTTCTTTTGTGTTCTGCAAAAGAAATAAAAGTCATTCGGGTTTGGAACAACATGAGGTGAATAAATGATGACAGAATTTATTTCAACTTTGGGTGAACTAAATGTGTTTGTTTCAATATACTATATACATTTCTATATAAATAACATACCGTGTTTTACTGAAAGATTGACAAGCTGTTCATAAATAATATTTATGATATGTCTCTTAAGCAGTGTCAATGATCTCCTAGGTTTACAAAGACAAGCAGACAATAAAGCTGATCAATCAAAACAAACCACACAAGCTTATTGATTGTTTTCAATTGTTCATGATGCATTTAATTTACCCTATCCTTTTGCCAATAATATTTAAAGCCAGCACAGTTGAAGTCAACCTCATAATGTTTAAATGCAAAAACAGTTTGCTTCCTTGCTCTGTATATGAACGCAGAGAGTTTGCATGCTCTTCATGAGGAATCGACTGTGACTCAAAGACATTTCAGATTCAAAACCAAAAATTATTCATGTAAGACTTTTATGTGGATTTTATGAGGCTGCTAAAAATATTCAAAAGTATTACAAAACTAGAAAATATTGCATATGCGGTTTTTAGTACCAACCTGTCGACTGCTCAGTGTTTTGCAAGTTCTCCACAGGTGCTAAAGTGGGTTGTAACTCTGGGTTGGGGTTGATGGTTCTCCACGACACAACTGAGATGGGAGGAACAGAGGATGTGTCGGTCTTCACAGGGACACAGCTGACATTGTTGATGCCATCCTTACAGGAAAACCCATCAGGGCATGACTGGATCAAGCAGTCATCATAATTATATTCACAGTTTTTTCCCTGAAACACAAAATAAAGAATTTTCTCACAACAAAAATCTTTTTCTCTAAGTGTTTTTGAAATGCCTGCTGGGATATGGTTTGATGCTACATTCAACCACATTGTCAGTACAATAATAAGGAAGTCAGGGTTTCTGAAATAATTGCACTAGTATGTGGCATTATGGTGAGGAAGTACAAAGTTTGATGCAATATGCTGAAATAAGTGCAGTGTACACAACTAAAGGCTGAGGACATCAGAATTCAAGCATGGTGCAAAACTAACATTGGGTCGAATATGAGTGTAAATTACAGTAAGCCCAGCAGGAGCAACTATGCTTTCAGCTGTACCGGCACCTATATACTGTATGTGCGAGTGGCAATTGCTTTAAGACTTCATGAGCGATGATATTTTTTTCATATGTGAAATTATCTGTAGTATGTATAACAACTAGTGCATTTTTAGATTTTAGGTGTTGATGTGAACATATTCATAAAATTGAGTGGATATATAGCTTCATTTATGTTGTGAAGCGAACATTAAAACTGCTCTCTCTCTCATTTTTCTTCCCATTTCCTATTTTTTTGAGAGAAGTCTTTGATTTACTAAAAGATACAGCAATTGTCTTGGACTTTTGACAACTTGAGGTGTGGATGCAACATTATGCATCATAGAAAACGTCTCAGGTTATGTATGTAACCCTGGTTCCTCGGGGGAACGAGACGCTGAGTCGGAAAACGCTAGGGGAACGCCTTCTGTGACCACGCTCTGAATAACATGTGAAATCAGTCCAATAGCTGAGCGGGACGTCACGGGCGGGTGACGTCATGACCAGGAAGCTATAAAAGCACGTGCGGCGGAGCCAGCGGCAGCTTCAGGAATGAGGCAAGCGCTGGCAGGGATGCCGGAAGTATGGCACCGAGACGCAGCGTTGTCGGTGCGCACCAACACATGGTGACCTCTTAGGTCTGGGAGAAAGTGTTTCAGAACTCGAAACATGGCCAGCATCTCCAAACAATTAATATGCCACGTCAGATGGCGATCACTCCACAGACCACTCATGATCGCACCCCAACCGGTGAGGGATGCACCCGTCGCTAGCGTACGCGGCGACAAGGAGCTCCCAGCACCGGGCCCTGAGACAAGAACCAAGGTTTCCTCCACATGTCTAAGGCACG